TAGGTTAGGTTGAGGTTAAGTTCGGTTTGGTTAGGTTAGATTAAGTTAGGTTGGGTTAGATTAGTTTAAGTTAGGTGAGGTTAGGTTAGGTTTAGGTTAAGTTAGGTTGGGTTAGATAAGGTTAGGTTTAGGTTAAGTTAGGTTGGGTTAGATTAGTTTAAGTTAGGTTAGGTTTCAAGATAACAAATTTTAAATATTATCTAAAATATCACAGTTTCAGTATTACAGTAACACAAGGGGCACATAACCATTTCTTTTCCCCCCTTAACGAGAGGTTCAATTAGCCTAATATACTCCGGGTAACACTCGATCCAGGTATTAATTATCTCTGCTAATTAGTTTTGTGTTGAGGTGGGATGAGTTGGATGAGTCATTCACCTCTTTGGGGGATGAAGTATGAGAGAGAGAGAGAGAGAGAGAGAGAGAGAGAGAGAGAGAGAGAGAGAGAGAGAGAGAGAGAGAGAGAGAGAGCTTAAAGAGAAAATGATAGAGATGCAGAGGAGAACTAATGAGAAGATAAAAGGCACGAGAGACAAGGAAGATGATGAATTGTAGATGCAGAGAGAGAGAGGCGGCAAAATAAGGGCTGGATTATGGGCACATGCGGTGAAGACTCAGGGGTTATGAGGGGCTTAAGGGTTTATGCCTCCAGGGGCCTGAAGCGTGGGCCATTGTGTGGGGCCAGAGAGAGAGAGAGAGAGAGAGAGAGAGAGAATAAATCGTAAAGAACAAACAACAAGAATATAAGGCCAAACATCTTACATTAAGCCAAAATACTGGATCAATACTTACTGTGAAATAAACCATACAATTCGAACACACACGTCATAAATAAACCAAACAATTCGAACACACACGTCATAAATAAACCAAACAATTCGAACACACACGTCATAAATAAACCATACAATTCGAACACACGTCATAAATAAACCATACAATTCGAACACACACACGTCATAAATAAACCATACAATTCGAACACACACGTCATAAATAAACCATACAATTCGAACACACACACGTCATAAATAAACCATACAATTCGAACACACACGTCATAAATAAACCATACAATTCGAACACACACGTCATAAATAAACCATACAATTCGAACACACACACGTCATAAATAAACCATACAATTCGAACACACACACGTCATAAATAAACCATACAATTCGAACACACACGTCATAAATAAACCATACAACTCCTATAAACCATACAATTTAACATGGTAGGAAGGAAGGTAAGAAAAAACAAACCCTTCAGTCATATTAAACCAGAAAAAAACACTGCAAACCTGAAATCACTTTAGGATTATTATTATTACAGGTGGAATAACTCTTATATGTCCTGTACACCCGTCCATACCGAGGTTGGTGAGTGTAAGGTCGGGTCTATTGTCAGTCAAAATCCTGAGACGAATGAAACGAAGAAATAAAAATAAAAATGAAAAATACCCGAAAAACAACAACAATCCCGAGTCTTTCAAGATTTAGATTGGCTAGATTCATGTCCCCGGCTTTTACTTGGTTTCTTGTTTGTTTTCTTGTTTACTTGTTTACTTTGTCAACATATGAGGATTTTCTGATAGTAACTCCTCCCGCCCCCCCGAAGAACAACATTACTCAAAGGAATAATAATAATAATAATAATATTCTCTGGTAATATCAATAACAAGCAGCGTAGGTCGAGGAAGGGAGGAGGGAGAAGGAGGTAGAGAGGGGAGGGGAGGTGAGAGAGAAGGGGGGAGGAAAGGGGAAGGGGTCTTTGTGCCTCCTGGGAAAACAAACGCAGCTGACGGCGGCTAGCACCTCCCCAACGTGTTTTGATAATGTCTTTTTTTTTCTCCCAGGATAGAGGCCACCTCACCTCTTGTTCATAGGATTTCTGGAATTTGTTTTTTAGTTAGTCTTTCGTGTATTTTTTTCGTTAGTCTTTCGTGTATTTTTTTCGTTAGTCTTTCGTGTGTTTGTTTTTGTTAGTGTTTCGTGTTATTTTTTCGTTAGTCTTTCGTGTGTGTTTTTTCGTTAGTATTTCGTGTTTTTTCGTTAATCTTTCGTGTTTTTTTCGTTAGTCTTTCGTGTATTTTTTCGTTAGATTTTTGTCTTTTTCGTTTGTCTTTCGTGTGTGTTTTTCGTTAATCTTTCGTGATTTTTTCGTTAGTCTTTCATGGGTTTTTTCGTTAGTCTTTCGTGTGTTTGTTTTTGTTAGTGTTTCGTGTTATTTTTTCGTTAGTCTTTCGTGTGTTTTTTCGTTAGTATTTCGTGTTTTTTCGTTAATCTTTCGTGTTTTTTTCGTTAGTCTTTCGTGTATTTTTTCGTTAGATTTTTGTCTTTTTCGTTAGTCTTTCGCGTGTGTTTTTTGCATTAGTCTTTCGTGTGTTTTTTCGTTAATCTTTCATGTGTTTTTCGTTAGTCTTTCGTGTTTTTCGTTAATTTTTCGTGTTTTTTTCGTTAGACTTTCGTGTTTTTTTTTTAGTTTTTCGTGTTTCCTTTTTTCGTCACGAAGGAATATTTACATTTTTACTCTATGTTCCAATGACTATGTAACACACTTGCTATTTCGTCTATGCAACATACCATACCATAATAAACAAAGGTGTTCCATAATTAACATTAGGTGTGCCCCATAATTAGCAAAGATGTGTCCCATAATTGACAAAGGTGTCCCATAATTAACAAAGGTGTGTCCCATAATTAACAAACGTGTCCCATAATTAACAAAGATGTGTCCCATAATTAACAAAGATGTGCCCCATAATTAACAAAGATGTGTCCCATAATTAACAAAGGTGTCCCATAATTAACAAAGATGTGCCCCATAATTAACAAAGATGTGTCCCATAATTAACAAAGGTGTCCCATAATTAACAAAGATGTGTCTCATAATTAACAAAGGTGTGTCCCATAATTAACAAAGGTGCGCCCCATAATTAACAAAGGTGCGCCCCATAATTAACACAGGTGTGCCCCATAATTAACAAAGATGTGCCCCATAACTAACAAAGGTGTCCCATAATTAACAAAGGTGTGCCCCATAATTAACAAAGGTCCCATAATTAGCGAAGGTGCGCCCATAATTAACAAGGTGTGGCCATAATTAACAAAGTTGTGCCCATAATTAACAAAGGTGTGCCCCATAATTAACAAAGATGTGCCCCCATAATTAACAAAATTAACAAAGGTGTGCCCCATAATTAACAAAGATGTGCCCCATAATTAACAAAGGTGTGCTCCATAATTAACAAAGGTGTGCTCCATAATTAGCAAAGATGTGCCCCATAATTAACCCCATAATTAACAAAGGTGTCCCATAATTAGCAAAGGTGCGCCCATAATTAACAAGGTGTGCCCCACAAAGATGTGCCCCATAATTAACAAATGTGTCCCATAATTAACAAAGGTGTGCCCCATAATTAGCAAAGATGTGCCCCATAATTAGCAAAGGTGCGCCCCATAATTAACAAAAGTGTGCCACATAATTAACAAAGGTGTGTCCCATAATTAACAAAGGTGTGCCTCATAATTAACAAAGGTGTGCCCCATAATTAACAAAGGTGTGCCTCATAATTAACAAAGGTGTGTCCCATAATTAACAAAGGTGTGTCCCCTAATTAACAGAGGTGTCCGACAATAATCACTTAAGCGAGACAAGGGTTTAATTATCGATAATGAAGCATTTTAGTGAAAGTTTGAATCAGTGTGGACCCGAGATTACGAAACTCTGAGTAAACTTTCCAAGGGAAGGGTGATGAGAGGAAGGAGGGAGGGAGAGGGAGGGGGCAGAGAGAGGAGAGGAGAAGGGGGGAGGGGGAAGGGGGCGATGTATTACCAGTTTCACTTGTTTCCCTTCCTCCTCCGTCCCTCTTCTCTTTCCTCCTCTCTCTCACTCTCCCTTCCTCCCTCTTCCATCGCTCCCCTCATTCTCTCTTCCTCCTTCCCCATTCTCCCTCGCTCCCCTTCCCAGCCCACTCTTTACCTTACCCATCCCCCCTTCCTTCACTCCTATCACTTCTCTCTCTTTCCTCTTATCTTCCCCTTTCACCCTCTTTTCTCCCTTTCTCACCCTCTTCCTCCTCCCTCCCCTTCAGGAACAAAATTGTTGTGATACTTAAGAAACATTAATTAAGCACCAACTGTTCCCTCTTCCTCCCCATCTCCCTTCCCTTCCAATCCTCTTCCTTCTTCCTCCTGGGGTGAGTTGCGGCTTTCTGAACACATACTGTCAGGTCAGGTCAGGTCTGGTCAGGTCAGGTTAGGTTGGGTAAGATTAACCTGTTAACCCCACCTAAGTCCCACGTAATAAAACCTCGTAATATTTAGGAATTTCTGTGTGCGTTTAAGATGGGGAGGGGAGAGAGAGAAGATGGATAGGGGAGGAGGGGGGAAGAGTGGGGGAAAGGAGGAGACTGGGGTAGGGGGAGAGGGGAAAGCGGGTAGGGGGAGGAAGCAGGTAGACCATCGGCAGCAGCGCCTTAAAGGTGAACCCGTCTTGGTGTGAGATAATTTGATGAAGGTTCTTTGCTCCGCCTTCTGGTAAAGTTAATTTTCTCGCTTATCAACTTATCAGGTAAAGTTCCTGGGTCGTCGAGTTTCATTTAGCTGTGGCTGGAGTGGTGGAGTTAGTTCTTAGCTAGAGTTAGGTTAGGTTAGATAAAGATGTGGTGAACAGGTGTTTGTCTAGATAACATTGGAGCGTCGCCTAACATATACAAAACAAACACACACACACAGACACAGACGACCAAATAAGTATTGGAACCTTTAAAAGACTTTGGTGACGCGTTTCCCCCCTAAACTATTCATCACTCTGAATGGCGCTTGATTAATATGTTTACCTTATTGGTTTGTTTACTTTTATTGGAGGTTATGGAGGCTAAAAAAAAGTGCCATTACCTGCGTCATCTTGTGCACAGGTGTTGGTGGGTTAAGTATGAAGGTGGGGGGTGGGGGTGGTGGCGTTTATAAGATGTAGCCGCAGTAAGAGTCGACAGTAGCAACCATGGCGTCCTCGCAGCTCTTGGGTGTCCTGGTGGTGATGGTGGTTGTGGTGGTGACGGCGTCCAAACCAACTAACATCTCTGTTCCCTTCATCCAACGTCAGTATCCATCTCTTCCACACTGTTGTTTCCTCCACACTGTCGCCCTCTGTTACAGCATCACCTCCACACTTGTCTAGTTTACCAATACCCACTAGAGTCAAATTATTCATCAACATCGTAAGAACATAAGAATGGAGGAAACTGCAGCGGGCCTATTGGCCCATACTGAGTAGTCCCATTTACACCCAACCCTATCGCTCATATATCCATCCAACCTATGTTTGAAGCTATCCAGCGTATTCGAGTTAATGATCATAATTGGTAACTTGTTCCACTCGTCCACTACTCTATTTCCAAACCAATGTATACCTATTTCGCGCCTAAATCTAAATTTGTCTAATTTAAAACCATTGCTATGAGTTCGCTCCTGGTTGGATAGTTTGAGTATCTTTGTAATGTCCCCTTTCTTTAGCCTTGACCCCTATTTATACACCTCTATCATATCGCCCCTCACTCTACGTCTCTCGAGGGAGTGCAAATTAAGATGCTTTAACCTGTCTTTATACTCAAGGTTCCTAATGCCCGGTATTAGTCTTGTCATTTTCCTCTGAATTCTGTCCAAGGATTCTATATCCATTCTGTAATATGGTGACCAGAATTGAACTGCGTAATCCAAGTGAGGTCTCACAAGCGCAAGATATAGTTTTAGGATGACCTTGCTAGTCTTGTAACTAACACTTCTTTGTATGAACCCAAGTACTTTATTAGCCTTGTTTCGAGCAAATACACATGGCTTACTTATCAATACTCTTAAATCCTTCTCGCAGTCGGATTTCTCAATAACATCGTTGTTCATCTGGCATCTGGTTTCCCTGTTTACATCTGCTGTACTGAGTACTTTACATTTGTCCACACTGAATTTCATCTGCCATTTTTCAGACCATACGAATTTTTTTTTTAGATCTTCCTGTAGTTTTGCAGAGTCCTCGTCAGATTTAATTACACGCCCTATTTTAGTGTCAAAAGCCAATTTACTTATGTTGCTGTCTACGCCGATATCTATGTCGTTTATGTATATAATAAATAATAATGGTCCGAGTACTGAGCCTTGGAAACTCCACTAGTGCCGTTGCTCCAATGGGATTTAGTGCCGTTAATGCTCACTCAATGTTTCGTCCTGTAACTACGCCCTAATCCATTTTAGACTCTCTCCTTTAAAGCCATGAGCCTCCACTTTTCTTATTAGTCTTTCGTGTTGGACTCTGTCAAAGGCTTTGCTAAAGTCAAGATATACCACATCATAATTGTGCCCGTCGTCCACTGATTAAAAAACAGAGGAAAATAATTTTAATAGATTAGTTAGACATGAACGCCCGCTTGTGAAGCCATGCTGGGAATCATTGATCAACTTAATAATAAAAATAATAATAATAATAACTAACGGTTTATTGAAAGAGCTTGGCAGCCAGAAGGCAGAAAATATACAGTTACATATTTGGGGAATGGGTTTTGATTTACAAATAATATACAAATAACATAGGTGATACAAATAAGATATATAATAACTAGATGGGGAAAAGCTCAAACTACAGGGCATTTCAACATAGTGACAGTGCAAGAAGTAGTGCTTCTCTAGGTGATTTCGAATAGAGTTTGAAATGATTGCTCCCAGTAATTTGCTTACAATTGATGTTAGATTGATTGGACGGTAGTTAGAGGATAGTGATCTATCTCCCTCCTTGAAAATCGGTATTACATTCGCTATCCTCCAGGATTCTGGTACATGTTAAACAACTTTGCTAAGGGCATACTAAGCTCTTCCTTACATTTCTTTAATACTCTGGCAAATATCTCACCGGAACCTGGTGACTTATTAGGCTTTAGTTTGTCTATGTGCTTGACATCGTTACTAGTCACTACTATCTCGCTTAATTTATTTTCTTCACTATCTCCATATAGAGTCGGTGATTCGGGTATCATGTTTAAAATATTTATTCAGATTACTACTCATTTCTCCGTCGTTATCAGTTAGCTCGCCGGTATCTGACTGTATTGGTCCAATCTTTTCTCGTGTTTTAGTTTGATACATTTGATAGAATCCCTTGGGGTTTAATGTCGCCTCCGTTGCTACCTTCAGTTCATTATTCCTCTTTGCTTTTCTTATCTCGGTCTTAACCCTACCAGCCAATACCTTATAATAATCTCGGAGGTAAACTTCACCACGATTTATTCTCCTACCTACAGCCTTCCTTTGTCCAATAATATTCTTTAAATAACTATTGATCCATTTAGGGTCATTGTTGTTTGATCTGAGTTTTCTGTATGGCATGTTCTGCCTTTGTGCATTAAGTAACTCATTATTTAAATTGTTGTGGAACTCATCAACCTCAGATCTCGTGATCAGGTAATCCTCAACCGTCGGGTCTCCAGGTAAGGTGAGGTCGCCCTCTGTGGGTACATTGTGTGAGGTAACCTCATGTGAGGTCATGTAATTCACCCCCAAGAGTGATAGCCCTTCTCCTAGCTGCCTCTTGAAACTATCAAAGTTTGCCCTTCTGAAATCAGGACTTTAGTCTAATTTTCCTTGCTGCTGCCCTGAGATCCTAATTGGAATCTTATTTCTTTGTGATCGCTCTTAGCAAGTTCGTTCCCTACCTCGACATTACTAATGAGGTTTTCTCTGTTCAACAGAACTAAATCGAGTATATTATTACCCTGGGTGGGTTAGGTTATATGTTGACTTAGGAAACAATCCTGGATCGTTTCAAGAAAATCCTCTGATTCTAAGTTTCCCGTAAGGTCAATCCAATCTATTTGGCTAAAGCCCTGCACATTTCATCCCAAATAAGTCGCTCATTAACTCTATCAAGATTAGGAGGTCTATATATTACTCCTGTGATTAATTTTTCCCTACCGTCGATTAATTCTATCCAAACTGTTTCTGTAATCCGCTTAGTTTTTAATTCCTTATTTATTTTACACTTCAGATTATTGCTGACATAGAATGCTACTCTGCCTCCTTTCCTAATCTGCCTATTGGTATGAAATACTTTGTAACCTGCAATTTGGTATTCCACAGGTAACTCACGTGAGTCTAGGTTTATCCATGTTTCGGTGAATGCTATTATTTCGATTTTTTCGGTACATACCAACGCCCTGATTTCATCCATTTTTGTTCCTCATACGTCTACTGTTTGCATAGTAGACATTTAAGTTAGTCTTGTTCTGAGTCCTCTCTTTGTCGCGTTTAGATTTAAACTCCCTGCCTAATGTAGTTTTGTCATCATTCCTAGCACTATTTCCCTGTAATCTTTCACGTTGTTTACCCGCTCCCACTGCAGTCTCCTCCACCCCCGTGCTCACATGTTCTCCTAGCAGTTTAAAGACTTCGACATCTTGTGAACTACCCTCTCAAGAGAGCCAGCCAGGGTTGCCACCCCATCCTTAGACAGATGCACCCCATCCCTAGCATAAAGGTCCCTTCTGCCGTAAAAGTTGTCCCAGTTGTCAATGAATGGGACTGATATTGACTTGCCATATCTGTCAAGACGGCCGTTGACACCAAGTGCTCTTGACAACCATTCATTGCCAACTCTCCTCCTAGGCAGGACACCACATATGATAGGGATCCCTCCCTTCGACCTAATACGTTGTATAGCTGTCTTGAACCTATCAAGAAGCTCCTCACTCCTACACCGGCCAATATCATTGCCTCCTGCACTGAGGCAGATAATGGGTTTGTTTCCATTACCAGACAAGACATTGTCCATCCTGTCAACTATATCCCCCACCCCAGCTCCTGCCAAACACACCCTCATCCTATTTTTATTTTTACCACAAACAGCTCTGCCCAGGTACCGTACCTAGGAATCGCCAACAATTAAGATTTTCGTACCTTCCTTGTCAGCCTTGTCCCTGACTATGCTAATGTCCAATTCGTCTATCAAAGGACTGAAAGAGTTGGTGCACTTAGCTGTTGTTGTCGTATCCTTAGTGCGTTTTTTCACCAACAGTTTGGTCGTTCCACTCCTCACAACCTTCCATTCGCCTGAGTTTTCGTCAGACACGGGCTTTCTTTGTCTCATTTCTTCCTTCATCTTTGCTATCACTTCCATTAATTTCAAGATTTCTTCCTTGGCCCTCTCTAACTCGTCCCTCAGAAGGGCACAGCCCTGTTCACAAGTAGCACCAGCCATTATCAACTTTCCAAGGCCATTTTCCATGCTTATCTGGGTTAGCAGCGGTTACACGATGGTAGCTCTGCATGTTGCCCGATCACTTACAGCCTTTTTCGTCAGGTCCTTTGCTCCAATGTCATTTCTTACAGCTTCCTGACCTTCACCCTGTAGCTCTCTTCCCTCGATATTTATACTCGTGCATCTCTTGACCCAATTAATCTCCTCCACATGACCAAACCATCTCAGCTCGTCTCTAAGCACAACTTCACCAATACTCTCCATACCCAGTCGCCTGGTGTGGGTATAGAGTATGTGTCTTACATTTTATTTATTTTGGGTGTAGGAGGCAGATTATTTTGTCAACACTTCCCCCTGGTATGGGTTTAGAGTGTGTGTAAAGAGAGTGTGTTGCTCCTATATTCTGCTGCAGTTGTGAAGTTTGTACATCGTCTTCCTCGCCTCCTGGTGGGGACAGAGATTGAATATTGTGTTACCTCTCCCCGACAGCCGAACCACGCGTGAATTTTAATGCTGGGTGTAAATGTGGCCAGAAGGGCGGCTCCAGGATCGTGGGCGGGATAACTACAGGCGTGAACGAGTGGCCGTGGCAGGCGGCACTCATGTTCGGCGATGGACAGTTCTGTGGAGGCTCCCTCATCAACGACCGCTACGTGCTAACGGCCGCCCACTGTACTGAGGTACGTACTACCATGGTGCCATCAGCCATGACTACCATAACCATGTCAGACACCTCTCATTATAAACTTCTGGCGAGGGACATGTTGGGTGCTGAATAATCTGTCACAAAACCTTATTTATAATCTACACTGAACAGTATACTAACAACATCTAATCTAATATACTATAGCTCTATCTGAATGAATGTCTGTCTGTCTGTGCACCCGAAACGGCACAATCGTTTTTCATCAAACTTGGTGGAAAAATCGCAAAAAATTCAGAGAGTGGAACAAACCTGGTCCCATGTCGATGGTTTCTTTAGGAAGGCATTAATTAACCATTTTATTTACGATGGAAAACGAAGCAAGTCTACGGACTTGGCGCACCCTAATTAACCATGCAAGCCTACAGACTTGCCGCACCCTCATTCGCTGTACGCTGTCAACCGGATACAATACAGTACAATACCATACAATACCATACAATACCATACCACACAATACACAATGAACTTTAAATATTTGTAAGAATAAAACATAATTATATAGACATGTAAGACTCACAACTTGATAAGATAACAACCACGACCATGATTATATCACCTACGACCATGATTATAACAACCACGACTATGATTACAACCACGACCATGATTATAACAACCAGGACCATGATTATAACAACCACGACAATGATTATAACAACCAGGACCATGATTATAACAACCACGACAATGATTATAACAACCACGACTATGATCATAACAACCAGGACCATGATTATAACAACCACGACCATGATTATAACAACCACGACTATGATCATAACAACCACGACAATGATTATATCAACCACGACAATGATTATAACAACCACGACCATGATTATAACAACCAGGACCATGATTATAACAACCAGGACCATGATTATAATAACCAGGACCATGATTATAACAACCACGACCATGATTATAATAACCACGACCATGATTATAACAACCACGACCATCTATCTAATATACTATAGGAATAGCCGTGTGTCTGTGTGTGTGTCTGTTCTGGACAGCCAAAATGGCACAATCGTTTTTCATCAAACTTGGTGGAAAAATCGCAAAAAATTCGTAGAGTGGAACAAACCTGGTCCCATGTCGATGGTTCTTTAGGAAGGCATTAATTAACCATTTTATTTACGCTAGAAAACGATGTCGTTGTATGCTGTCAGCCAGACGGCGGTTGCGCACTAGCTAAGCAGAGCGTTCGAACTTTCACTCCTCGGTAGACTGTACTACCGGACTCGCCACCGGGCACGAATATTAACTCTAAGGCCTTCTCTATGTAAATCAATGAACATATATATAGAATATGAAAAAAATAAATAATAATAATAATCCTAAAGGTTACTTCCGTGTTATGTTCGGTAGCATTTGAGTGTTGCCATATGGATGATAATAATAATAATAATAATAATAATAATAATAATAATAATAATAATAATAATAATTAACGGTTTATTAAGATAACATGGCAGCCCGAAAGCTGAAAATATACAATGAACAGAGATGATAAGTTACATATGGGGGAATCTGGGAGTGGGTCACTTGATTGACAAAAGCTCTCATTACACAAACATAAGAAACATAGAGTCAACATATAGATTAACTTTAGATCAGGTACTGTGGGAGCTGGTCTTGTAGACATTCTTGTGACCTGATGTCGGCGCCAAGCCTGGCTGCTAAGCCGCTACCTCACTACAGCTGCAGATGCACCACGTAGTCCGGGTAAGTCCTCCAGCTCACACAGGGTGTTGGAGATGGTTCTTGTTCCTCATGTGATGTAGTTAGGAATTCATAGTTCCTCACTTGGGTGGAGTAGGGAGTCCTCACTTCTCACCTGGTGTAGTTTGGAATGTTTCTTTGGTTCTCATCTAGTGTTGGTGGTAGCGAGTGTACCGCGGGCTGGGTGTGTCACTTCAAGGGTCAAGTCAACATAAGAACATAAGAACATAAGAATAGAGGAAACTGCAGTGGGCCTATTGACCCATAGTGGGCAGTCCCGTTTATACCCAACCCCTATTGCTCATTTAAGCATCCAACCTATGTTTGAAGCTATCCAGCGTATTCGAGTTAATGATGATATTTGGTAACTTGTTCCATTCATCCACTACTCTGTTTCCAAACCAGTGTTTACCTATTTCACGCCGAAATCTAAATTTCTCTAATTTAAAACCATTGTCACGAGTTCGCTCCTGGTTGGATAGTTTGAGTACCTTTGTAATGTCCCCTTTGTTTAACCCTGACTTCCATTTATACACCTCTATCATGTCGCCCCTCGCTCTACGTCTCTCGAGGGAGTGCAAATTAAGATGCTTCAACCTGTCTCTGTATTCAAGGTTCCGAATGCCGGGATTAGTCTTGTCATTCTCCTCTGGATTCTTTCCAAGGACTCTATATCCATTCTGTAATACGGTGACCAGAACTGAACTGCATAATCCAGGTGAGGTCTCACAAGCCCTAGATATAATTTTAAGATGACCTCGCTAGTCTTGTAACTAACACTCCTTTTTATGAACCCAAGTACTTTATTAGCCTTGTTACGAGCAAAAACACATTGTTTACTTGGCTTAAGATTCATACTTATCATTACTCCTAAATCTCTCTCGCAGTCGGATTCCACAATGGCATCGTTGTTCATCTGGTAACTGGTTTCCCTGTCTACATCTCCTATACTGAGTACTTTACATTTGTCCACATTGAATTTCATTTGCCAGTTTTCTGACCATTCAAAAAATTTGTTTAGATCTTCCTGTAGTTTTGCAGAGACCTCGTCAGATTTAATTACACGTTCTATTTTAGTGTCATCAGCAAATTTACTTATATTGCTGTCTATGCCGATATCTATGTCGTTTATGTATATAATAAATAATAATGGTCCAAGTACTGAGCCTTGGGGAACTCCTCTAGTGACGTTGCTCCAATGCGCTTTAGTGCCGTTTATGCTCACTTGCTGTTTCCTGTCCCACAACCACGCCCTAATCCATTTAAGGATGTCATGCACTTCTACCTTTCTAATTAGTCTTTCGTTGGGGACTCTGTCGCAGGCTTTGCTGAAGTCGAGGTATGCCACATCATAATTGTGCCCCTCGTTCACCGATTCGAAAACTGATGAAAAGAATGTTAATAGATTAGTTAGACATGAACGCCCGCTTGTGAAGCCATGTTGGGAATCATTTATCAACTTGTGCTTCTCCAGGTGGTTTCGAATAGAGTTTGAAATGATTGATTCAAGTAATTTGCCTACTATTGATGTTAGACTGATTGGACGGTAGTTAGAGGATAGTGATCTATCCCACTTCTTGAAAATCGGTATTACATTCGCTATCCTCCAGGATTCAGGTACTACACCTGTATTTAAGGACATGTTAAACAACTTTGCTAAGGGCATACTAAGCCCTTCCTTACATTCCTTTAATACTCTGGCAAATATCTCATCGGGACCAGGTGACATATTAGGCTTTAGTTTGTCTATTTGCTTACTAACATTGTTACTAGTCACTACTATCTCGCTTAATTTGCTTTCTTCACTATCTCTGAATAGAGTCGGTGTTTCGGGTATCATGTTTACATATTCGGTCGTGAAAACTGTTGAAAAATATTTATTCAAATTATTGCTCATTTCTCCGTCGTTATCAGTTAGCTCGCCGGTATCTGAATGTATTGGTCCAATCTTATCTTGTGTTTTAGTTTGATACATTTGGTAGAATCCTTTAGGGTTTGTTTTCGCCTCCCCTGCTATTTTCAGTTTATAATTCCTCTTCGCTTCTCTTGTCTCGGTCTTAACCCTACCGGCCAATACCTTTTAATACTCTCGGAGGTAAATTTCGCCACGATTTATCTTTCTACCTTTAGCCTTCCTTTGGCCAATAATGTTCTTTAAATAATTATTTATCCATTTAGGGTCATTGTTGCCTGATCTGAGTTTTTTGTATGGTATGTTATGCCTTTGTGCATTATTTAAATTGTCATGGAACTCGGCAATCTCAGATCTCGTTATCAGGTCGGTGTCATCTGTTAGGTTCACACCCAAGAGCGACACCCCCTCTCTCAGCTGCCTCTTTAAACTATCAAATTCTGCCCTTCTGAAATCTGGGACTTGAATGGAATTCTCTTTACGTCTGACCTGAAAATCTAACTGGAATCTAATTTCTTTGTGATCGCTGTTTGCAAGTTCGTTCCCTATCTCGACATTGCTAATGAGATTTTCTCTGTTCGACAGAACTAAATCGAGTATATTATTACCCCGGGTGGGTTCGGTTATATGTTGACTTAGGAAACAGTCCTGGATCGTTTCGAGGAAATCCTCTGATACTGAATTACCCGTAAGGTCAGTCCAATCTATTTGGCCAAGGTTAAAATCGCCTACTATACAGACTCTGTTGTGTATGGAAGCCCTGCGCATTTCATCCCAGATAAGTCGCTCAGTAACTCTATCAAGATTGGGAGGTCTATATATTACTCCTATAGTTAATTTTTCCCTACCGTCGATTAATTCTATCCAAATTGTTTCTGTAGTCCGCTCAGTTTTTATATCCTTATTTATTTCGCACTTCACATTATCCCTGACATTGATGGCTACTCCGCCTTCTTTCCTGGACGGCCTATCGGTATGGAACAATTTGTAATCCGCAATTTGGTATTCCACAAGTAACTCACGTGAGTCTAGGTTGATCCATGTTTCAGTGAATGCTATTATATCGATTTTTTCGGTACATACCAAGGCCCTAATATCATCCATTTTGTTACTCATACTTCTACTGTTCGCTTAGTAGACATTTAAGTTCGTCGTGTTCTGAGTCCTCCCTTTACCGCGTTTAGGTTTAAACTCCCTGTCTAATTTAGTTTTGCCATCATTCCTAACACTATTTCCCTGTAATCTTTTACTTTGTTTACCCGCTCCCACTGCAGTCTCCTCCACCCCCGTGCCCATATGTTCCCCTAGCAGTTTAAAGACTTCGATATCTTTTGAACTGCCCCCTCTAAAGACCCAACCAGGGTTGCCACCCCATCCCGGGACAGGTGTACCCCATCCCTAGCATAAAGGTCCCTTCTGCCGTAGAAGTAGTCCCAGTTGTCAATGAATGGGACAAAGAAGGGGGATAGATCACTATCCTCTAACTACCGCCCAATCAGTCTAACATCAATAGTAGGCAAATTACTGGAAGCAATCATTTCAAACTCTATTCGAAATCACCTGGAGAAGCACAGATTGATCAATGATTCCCAGCATGGCTTCACAAGCGGACGTTCTTGCCTAACTAATCTATTAACATTCTTTTCATCAGTTTTCGAATCGGTGGACGAGGGGCACAATTATGATGTGGTATATCTCGACTTTAGCAAAGCCTTCGACAGAGTCCCCCACGAAAGACTAATTAGAAAGGTAGAAGCTCATGGCATCAAAGGTGACATCCTTAAATGGATTAGGGCGTGGTTACAGGACAGGAAACAGCGAGTGAGCATTAACGGCACGAAGTCCCATTGGAGCAACGTCACAAGTGGAGTTCCCCAAGGCTCAGTACTTGGACCATTATTATTTATCATATACATAAACGACATAGATATCGGCAATGACAGCAACATAAGTAAATTTGCTGATGACACTAAAATAGGACGTGTTATCAAATCTGACGAGGACTCGGCAAAACTACAGGAAGATCTAAACAAATTTTTCGAATGGTCTGAAAAATGGCAAATGAAATTCAACGTCGACAAATGTAAAGTACTCAGTATAGGAGATGTAAACAGGGAAACCAGATACCAGATGAACAACGATGCCATAGAGAAATCCGACTGCGAGAGAGATTTAGGAGTAATAAGTAGGAACCTTAAGCCAAGTAAACAATGTGTTTTCGCTCGTAACAAGGCTAATAAAGTACTTGGGTTCATACAAAGGAGTGTTAGTTACAAGACTAGCGAGGTCATCCTAAAACTGTATCTTGCTCTTGTGAGACCACACCTGGATTACACAGTTCAGTTCTGGTCACGGTATTACAGAATGGATATAGAATCCTTGGAAAGAATTCAGAGGAGAATGACAAGACTAATCCCGGGCATTAGGAACCTTGAGTATAGAGACAGGTTTAAGCATCTTAATTTGCACTCCCTTGAGAGACGTAGAGTGAGGGGCGACCTGATAGAGGTGTATAAGTGGAAGGCAGGGCTAAACAAAGGGGACATTACAAAGGTACTCAAACTATCCAACCAGGAGCGAACTCGTAACAATGGTTTTAAATTAGACAAATTTAGATTTAGGCGTGAAATAGGTAAACACTGGTTTGGAAACAGAGTAGTGGATGAATGGAACAAGTTACCAAATATCATCATTAACTCGAATACGCTGAATTGCTTCAAACATGGGTTGGATGCTCATATGAGCAATAGGGGTTGGGTGTAAACGGGACTGCCCAGTATGGGCCAATAGGCCCGCTGCAGTTTCCTCCATTCTTATGTTCTTATATTGACTTGCAATATCCGTCAAGACGGCCGTTGACACCAACTGCCTTTGACAACCATTCATTGCTAACTCCCCTTCTAGGCAGGACACCATATATGATATGGATCCCTCCCTTAGTCCTAATACGATCTATAGCTGTCTTGAATTTATCAAGAAGCTCTTCACTCCTACACCGGCCAATACCGCTCAGCACAATTGTCACTAACATTTGTTTCTTTGTTTCGAGTTGAAATTTTCACTTTTGTATATCACTTGTGGGTTGATGGTCAATCTTTGCACTGTACTGTTGGTGGGAGGATGTTGATAAATCCAGATGGGAGGAGGAGATGGGGAAGGCCCGACAGACCAGGCTGGCAGCTGTCTCCATGGTCAAGAGACCACGGCCGCGTCAGCGGGTAGCGCCGACTACATACGTCCTTATGAAGGCTGAAGGAAGTTCGTGTATACCTGCAGTGTCTTATACATGCTAAATCAATGTAAACTTCTATGGCGATTTTTACTGAATACCTCTCCAACTATCTGTCTATCTATTTTGTACACGTCATACGAGCAATATAGAGAGCTGTTCTGTCTTAGGTATATACAGGTGTGCTTGTTAATGATACTATGTTTTGTGTGCTGAGAACAGGGCTTGAAGGCGGACGAAATTTATGTACATCTGGCTGAGCATGACCTGAGCAACAGCGAAGAGACCCACCTGGTCATCAGGTCTGTGTCGAAGATCATCAATCACCAGAACTACCAACCTGGTGACGAAATCAACGACATCGCTCTCCTCAAGTTGTCCTCCCCCGTGACCGTAAATATGAACTCCACTTTACCATACATCTCATTGTCCTCCTTGACCCAATGTATCGTACCGCATGCAGGTGTATTTTTTTAATTCCATCTCCGTATCTCTAACACCTCCTACTGTACTCTGTTCAGCCAAGCTCTCCTTCCTTATCTGATATGACTTATAACATCTCTGCTGACAACTCAAAATTTACTCACTTAATATACAAGAAAAACTCTCATAACCGGCATCTGTTACATGACGTTATCAGAGGGTAAAAACAATTGACGATCGGGGACAAAGCTGCTGGAAACTACACGATTACTTTTTTTTTCTTGACGGTGTAAATTTCAACAAGTTAATCGTAAAAAAAAAATACGGAAATGCTTCATCAGATAATATATACGACAACAGATGGAGGGTGATATTCCCATTGTAAAACTAGTATTACCTACAAATTACACATTTTGATAGTAATATATTGGGACGTTTTTAATTCCTACTGGGCAATACATTACAGCCAGCATTACTAGTTATGAATACCGGATAACACTAAAATTACAGGAATACAGAAAGCTGTTGTTGATTTAATATTAGAATACTAGAAATACGATTGGCTTTCATATTAGTAATCCTTATTATTGTCACCGTGCTATCGCTTCAGTTGATATTGACGCAGTAGGAACAATACCTCACTGCTGAAGTATACAGGAGTGAGAGAAGTTTGCTCAATAACCCACCAAATTATAGTAGTCGTGATCCATTAAGATAATTTTCCGTGATTCCCAAGTCACTGAAAATGATGATCCCCACAACTTTTTAGTGAAGAGCTTAATATTAATAAAATAAAATGATCGTAAGGCAATTGATTCTTCAGGTGTCCGTCAGCCAACCAATCAGCTGCTTTGCTACAAACTGTCTTTAGGCCTCACAAGCTTGGAGTGAACAGACTATAGTTGCCACAGTGTACAGTAGGTTGTCATACTGTGGGTGTTGCAGGTGGGAGACATTGTGCTGCCAGTGTGTTTGCCGCCACTTTCGCCAACTTACGCCGGCAAGACAGCCACTGTGACTGGCTGGGGAACCACCAGCTCTGGGGGCACCTCCGCCGACACCCTGCGGGAAGTGAAGCTAAAGGTGGGTGGTGTGAGTCTTTAATGTAACCTGTAGGAGGATATACTTAGTGGTCAGCTGTGCCGACATCATAATCATAGAGGCCTATATTGATATAAATCTTATAATAATAGATGTGCTGTGGCAACTTTGGTCATCCCGACTGATAAGGACTTATGTGTGTCAGGTACTGTCCAATGGAGGCTGTAAGAAAAGCTACGGCGAAAGCATCAAGAAAACCATGTTATGTGCTGGCAGCGCAGGCAAGGACTCCTGTCAGGGAGACTCTGGCGGACCGCTCGTCTTCAAGGATGGCGGAGGAAACTATGACCAGGTCAGTACTACGGTTCACTGTACTGCCGCCAGTGTTGTTTACTCCCTTAAACAACCAAGGTTTTTAAGCGCGTATTCTTGTACTAAATACACTGATCATCAACAATTCAAAACTCAGAGAGATACACCCCTCTGCATTAATATATTACACTTTACACTGGAGATATATGTCTGGCACCAACTTGTTAAACTCATGACTTTTATTGTACGTCTGGCAATGATGAATTACTTCCAGCACGTAACGTTACCAGCCGGATACCCTTCCAGTAGCTGCCCATCATACTGTAACAGCCACAATATATTCACAATTAAATTAGTTAACCAGACTTTACTTATTGAGTATGGTATATCTAATGAACAGTTGTCATTAATATATTTAAGTACACTTCCAACACCATTTTTGTGGTTTGGCATGACTCGACACAACACAGAATATATATATATATGTATTTAACGACTATTTTTGTTTATTAATCGGTTATTTATATATTACTTTAAATAACACAAACTGTAATATGGTGTAACGTGAGTGTTGTTGTTTGGAACAGATCGGTGTGGTGAGCTGGGGCTTCGGGTGTGGTGATAGTGGTTACCCCGGCGTCTACACTCGAGTCAACAAATATCTCAAATGGATCAAGTCCAACACGGCCGACGGTGTGTACTGTAAAGGCATGAAGCTGAAGTAGACCTGCAGCTCACTACACTTGTCCTCACCAAGGGTCGTCTCAGATAACCAGAGGGCGGAGGAAGTAACCTTAACGACACCGATGTAACAACTGTGTGCAGCTGACAACAGGACAACCCAATGATATGAGGACAACCTACGCCGCACTACACTATCTGGATACAGTTGTCCTCATGAAATAAATTTGAAAATAAACAAAACAAATGCCATTTGTTATTTCTTTCCCCCAAGCAAAAGACTCTATACCCACACCATCCGCAGAGAGAACTGTTGACACTACACTCCTCCTACACCCACAGTAAGTAAAATATGACACGTTTTTCACTCTACACCCGCACCAGGTGGAGACGTCAACCCTACACTTAAACTCTACACCACACAACACCTAAACTTGAAAACCAACATATTTCTTGGTCAATGACTCAAACAGTATTGATGTGTAGCGAAACAATAATTCGATGGTAGTGAATATTGGTGAATAAGACAAGTGTGGAGGTGGTGAGACAGAAGTGAGGAGGAGGAGGAAGACAGAAGTGAGGAGGAGGAGGAAGAAGAGGAGGAGGAGGAGGAGGATAAAGTCGGGGTGAGGAGGACTTGAGGAAGAGGGAAATACTGACGGTGAATGAAGGAGGGAAACCCGAGCTCAGTTGATTTGGACGCCACCAGGTAGAACACCTCACCACCAGGAGACTGGACAGCTGCCTGAACACCTGTGCTTCACCCCTCGCTCCCTCTCTACTCCAACACCTACACACTAGGGTTTCCTTCCCGGGATCCCGGGCGTAAGTGGTTATGTTTTTTTTTCCCGGGAATTTGGTTCAAATCCCGGGATTCTTATTGTTATTCCTTATCTCTGATTTGCACTATGTGAAATACAAAAACGCATGAAAGAGAGAGAGAGAGAGAGGGGGGGGGCAGAGCGAGTCTGACAGAAGTGACGCGTACCGTTCCTGTACACTTCTGGCCTTCACCACGTCTTGCTTGGGTACTGGCATTAGTCGTGTTTATCTCCCTGCACAGTACAGAGGTGTGTTGACTGTCGAGTAATCTGTCTGTATATGATGCCAAAATGCAAGCCATAATCTAATGGTGTATCTTGGCTTGCATGATACGGAGTACGGACATGTGACTGATATGATAAATTAACATAGTGCATACTTAGTGTTGTTAGTTTTTAAGGTGATTTTACGAAACTTGTTTAATCATATTATGTACCTATTTTTACACCAGTAAGAACATAAGAATGGAGAAACTGCAGCGGGCCTATTGGCCCATACTGGGCAGTCCCGTTTACACCCAACTCCTATTGCTCATATAAGCATCCAACCATGTTTGAAGCTATTCAGCGTATTCGAGTTAATGATGATATTTGGTAACTTGTTCCATTCATCCACTACTCTGTTTCCAAACCAGTGTTTACCTATTTCACGCCTAAATCTAAATTTGTCTAATTTAAAACCATTGTTACGAGTTCGCTCCTGGTTGGATAGTTTGAGTACCTTTGTAATGTCCCCTTTGTTTAGCCCTGACTTCCACTTATACACCTCTATCAGGTCGCCCCTTGCTCCGGCGTCTCTCGAGGGAGTGCAAATTAAGATGCTTTAACCTGTCTCTAAACTCAAGGTTCCTAATGCCCGGGATTAGTCTTGTCATTCTCCTCTGAATTCTTTCCAATGATTCTATATCCATCCTGTAATACGGTGACCAGAACTGAACTGCGTAATCCAGGTGTGGTCTCACAAGCGCTAGATATAATTTTAAGATGACCTCGCTAGTCTTGTAACTAACACACCTTTGTATGAACTCAAGTACTTTATTAGCCTTGTTAAGAGCAAAAACACATTGTTTACTTGGCTTAAGGTTCCTACATATCATTACACCTAAATCTCTCTCGCAGTCGGATTTCTCTATGGCACAACTCTCGTGTCTAATGATTTTGTTCCCTACACTCTTTCAAGACTCGAGGAAAAATTTCATCTGGGGCGGGGGATTTTGTCTTCTTTAATTTATTTATCCTCTTAAGAACATCCTCTTTTCTGATAGCGATATTCTTTAATTTCTCTTCTTCCTTTACCCTAAATATCACTTCCACCTCTGGAATTTCCTCGCGAATTTCTTCTGTGAAAACTGATAAAAAGTAGGTGTTCAATGCTTTGCTTATTTCTTCACTGCCATTGATCACTTCCCCTCCCCTTGACTTTAAAGGCCCAACTTTGTCCTTGACCTATGTTCTATATACCTGGAAAAATCCCTTGGGATTCGCCTTGGATTCTCTTGCTATTCTGATTTCATAGTCTCTCTTTGCTTTCCTTGCATTTTTCTTAACATTCCTAGATAGTGCATTACAGGAGGATCTAAATAAACTGCGGGGGTGGTCAGAAAAATGGCAAATGAAATTCAACACCAGCAAGTGCAGTGTACTTAAATTGGAAGAACAAATACTGTCAATGTATACAGCCTTAACAACATCAACCTAGAGAAGTCGACTCGTGAAAGAGACCTAGGGGTACTTGTAAGCCCGGACCTATGGCCTAGAAAACAGTGCGTTAATGTTCGAAATAAGGCAGAGTATTAGGTTTTATATCTAGAAGTGTAAGTAATAAGAGTGTAGAGGTCTTATTGCAACTATATCTTGCGCTAGTCAGGCCGCACCTCGATTATGCGGTTAAGTTCTGGTGCCCATATTATAGAATGGATATCAATTCACTGGAGTCGGTGCAGCGAATTATGACGAAAATGATTCCGGGACTTAGAAACCTACCATATCAAGATAGGTTAAAGAAACTAAACTGCATTCCCTAGAAACACGAAGAGTGCGGGGAGATATGATAGAAGTATTTAAGTGGGTGAAAGGAATCAATAAAGGGGATATAGATAAACTTCTTATAATATCCGAGCAGGATAGGACTCGTAGCAACGGATTTAAGTTGGATAAGTTTAGGTTTAGGAGGGAGATAGGAAGGAACTGGTTCACAAATAGGGTGGTGGACGAGTGGAACAAGCTTAGCAAAATTGTAGTAATGCTGGAACGCTGGAAAGTTTTAAAAGGAGGCTAGATAGATTCATGGATGATAGAGAGTGGTAGTAACTCTCGACAGGAGCTGCCATGCGCAGGCCAACCGGCCTATTGCAGACTCCATATTTTCTTATGTTCTTATGTACGCCATGTGATGCCCCTCATACAACATCTGTGAGGGAATTACTACACCACATGAGGCTCCTCATAACACCATCTGTGAGGGAATTACTACACCGCATGAGGCCCCTCATAACGCCATCTGTGAGGGAATTACTACACCACATCAGGCCCCTCGTAACACCATCTGTGAGGAAATTACTACATTATCAGGCCCCTCGTAACACCATCTGTGACGGAATTACTACACCACGTCAAGCACCTCATAACACCACCTGTCAGGGAACTACTACTCCACGTGATGCCCCTCATAATGCCATCTGTGAGGGAGTTACTACACTACGTGTCTGCTGTTCAACACCTCAGCTCACAAGATCTACATGACCTCCACTGTAAACCTTAATCTGTATGTTCACTGTACAGTATGTTCCTTCACCTTTCTCTAACGAAGGCTTTTGTTAAACCACCAATGTATGTAATAAGTCATTTATGTCCAATGTATATTTTCAGCCTTCGGGCTGCAGAACTTTTTCAATAAACAGTTTATTATTATTATTATTATTATTATTATTATTATTATTATTATTATTATTATTATCACACACACACACTCCACAGCCATTAAAGATGTGCCGAAATCTACTAACCTTGTACCATGCCTGAAAATTAACGCGGTGAGTGATAAATACGAAAGCAAGAGAGAGGGAGAGAGAGAGAGAAGACAAGAGCTAAATAAAACAAACAGGAGAGATACAAAACAAGAGAGATAAATAAGACAACAAGAGATAAATAAAACGAGAGGGAGAGAGAGAGAGATTGGCTTCTGGTTTCCTATAGAACAGTCCTTTGTGCCTATAAAAACCTGTTCTCACAATTACAGAGACAGTTTCCTACACAACAATTAACCTACACAAGACCACATGTTGTAAACAAAGGAGTCTTGTGTACATAACAATTATTCATTTCATATTTAGTATTATTTGTGAGGAGGAAAATGAATTACCGTAGACACAGATCTTTTTTCAAGGGGATACTTTTTTGTAAATAGTTAGGGACTTTACCAGGTATGGTACGTACAGATTCTATGACTAGGGTTGTCAGAGGAGAATCTTATCCAAAATAATATTACAGTATTATCTACTGGCATATATGAAGAGGGCGACCAAAATTTATTCATGTTTTTGAATGCATTTGGATTTCATCTGAGAGCAAAGTCTGTTATATCTTCCATTATACACTTTACGTATGGATGACGAGAGGGCGGTGCCGGGAGGTGTGTGAGTGAGTGGTTATAAAGGTCGCTTACCCACAGTAGGTGTTACTGTCACACGGAGGACACTCAATTTCCTCAGAGATAGATGCCTTCATAGGTAGGTTTTCGTGGTGGTTATGAGCATGATCTCAAGTTTACTCAATTTTACATATACGGGTATATCTAATCTTACGTTGAATTTCATTGATATAAGATATAAGTGTGATTTTATAATTTATTGATATTATAAACATAATTTTTTCATTGAATTGGACTGTGATGTTGTTTGTTGTTAGTAAGTAATCCTCAAGATGAACACCCTCACCGTAACCTCACAAATACAGTTCATGTATAAGGGAGCAGCGCCTCTGGGTTAGTGACATGCAGGTCATCCAACCATAAAATTCGCTACACATTTACCTGATGGCTACTGGGACATGAAGGCAATCAAGAAATCACGGTGACGGCGACGATAATAATGATGCATGGGTGTGGTTATGTGGTGAATGCAAAAAAACTGTTCATGAGAGTTCCAGAAGGTCGAGTGTATGAATTACGATGAGTGTGTGTTTACAGAGACGACCAACACACACCTGTACACACACACACACACACACACGCTCCTCGCCACACTATTACGAAATACCTATAAACTCCTTAATATTTACACTGATGTTACCGCAGTTTAATTAAATATCAATAGAAGCCAGTAAAGGGTTAGGGTTCTGGCCTATTACACTCGTCACCACCTCGTTAGTCGTATATAAACACCTGACGAGTCGTTATACTAATTTTCTTAAAAGTCAAGTCCTCGAGATTTT